TTAGATCTGGGCATATGGTTTTATTATTGTGATCCGGTGTGTGTTAGGGGTGCATAGTTATTATTGTGACCTTATGATATATATTATTGTAAATATGATGATAATGTGTTTTATACTCGATAACATAGTTGTTATTATTGTGGCCATGGTGATATTTGTCATATGTGTGTTATATATACATTACTTGCTAATTGCATATGTTTTTAATTGATACGCAACTATATAGATTAAGCAAACTTGATTATTGAGTGGTTATACTCACCCTTCAATTCTCAATATTTTCATAGCCTAACTCATCGGACCAAGATCGAGGGAAACGTGCTGAGGCTTAGGATTGTAAAGTAATCCTACTTGTATGCCTTATTATGTTGTTGTATGTGTATTAAGATTGTTAATTTGCCAATTAGGTCATATGTCATTGTTTTGAACTACTTGCACTATTATTGTACACATCTTGTGTATTTTGTACCCTGAGTTTAGTGCATTTTAGTTGTAAATCCTTGTTTAAAGTCAAAATACTTTTGCAAGTAGAAAAATGTGTATTTTGATTGATTTGAAATGAGAATGAACAATTTGTGCTAAATCTTCCTCCCCTTTATATTTTATGAAATCTAAGGTTGAGTGGTAAAATAGTGTTATATGTGTATTAGGTTGAGTGTGGTGTATTGCACGAGCCCTATAGGGTCCATTGAGTGTGGTCAGATTGTCGGTGTAGGCTGTTGACACTTATGTGTGAGTTTGGACACCATTATTGTGAGTTTTGTAAAAAAAGAAGTGAAAATGAATTTGGGTGTCCAACTCTTTAAAAAAATGAACTTGAGTGTGAAAATTGTGCCATTAGCTAGAGTTGGAAGAAAGCTCTATATAGACATCAAATCACCTCAATCAGATGACGGATAAAGATTTGAAACTCGTCAAAAGTTCGCTTCTTATGCTGTCATATGACAGCAAAAGTTTACTATCAAATTTCATGCAATGTGCTGCTGTGCATGGTCTCTTATGCCACAGCGCATGGCACAAAGGCTGAAGAGTCATGGCGTAATGACACTTAGCGGTGGCGTATATTCTAATTTCTGCATAAATTATAGTTTTGAGTTTTAAATCAAATATTTTGGGTCTTATTTGAATCTCAAGGTTCTGCACTGTTTTGAAAATTTGATTTGAGACTATCAAAAGCATTTGGGAGTAGCTTAAATCTTGAAAAAACTTAGATCTCAATGTAAAGGGTTTGAAATCGTTTCTCCCATTTGGAAATTGTAAAAACTTGGCAATCCTCATTGGGTTTAGTCCCTTAATTATTTTGATTTTGGAATTCATGATTATTCTAGTGAGGTGATTACAAGCTTGTTAAAGGTAAGTTTTTTAAAAAATTAAAAATTTGTTTTTCTTAAATATTGCAAGCTCTATTAGCATAATATACAAAATGAATTTAAAGAAAATGGGTCTACAACATCTCCCTTCTTATTTCCATATCAAAAAGACATAGAACACCCTTGAGAGTTTATGACTTGTATTTTGAATGAATTTGTGCATTGTTTTCAAATTTCTTTTATTTATTATTAAGCTTGGAACTGGACTTATTTTCTCATAAATTATGGCCATTGTACTACATGTTTGCTTATCCTTTTAGTTCTAATAAGCATTTTGTTTTGAAATTGTTAGAGGTTCAGGGAATATTCAAGACCACATTATTCAATAGTTTATAAACGTTTAATATTAGCAAAAAGTAACCGTTTCATAAACCTATTTTGTTGTAATTGTTGTAATCATTTGATTCAAACCTTTCATCTCTTGTCTCAATATGTTTATGTTAACACTTATAATTTTTATCAACTTCATAGCACACTAAATAATCTTTCAACTCAGATGAACTAATTAGCTTTAAAAGACCACATTTTATATAAGGTCATACTACACTTCCCGATCTTTTATATGTTCAAGAGCAAATCTTATAAACACGTTCACACCATTCAAATATTCCTTACTAATTGATTGGTGGACATTTATTTCTTATCTATAATCTTAATCTAGCAAAAAATTTATACAAGAAAATGTGAATAGTAACTCATGAACATGTGGAGGAAAGGAATGATACAATAAAGAAAAATAATTAACTACTCTATATGTAATATAGAGAAATCAATGAATCATGAGTCATGTGCATGAGCATTCACATGTTCATTAACCAAAAAAAAATCGACAGTATGATGGCATAAAAATAAGCATTCAATCAAGCATAAGCCCTCTTTTTAAACCTATTATCTTATCTCAACAAACTAAATTCAGCTATACACAATTCTAACAACAATAAATTCACAAAATAGAATTTTTAAAGAAATCACAAGTAAATTACAATCACTCAAATCAATTCTAATTATCATGAAATTTGGCATATTAGTAAATTTCAATATGTAGTTTCCAATGATAAAACTACTTAGGTCAAATAAGACATGAAATTTTATTTGTAAAATTATCTAAAAAATTCATTGAAAAATCACATAAAAAGAAAAGCACTATAAACATCTATCAAAATCATTGATTTTTGTCTCATTAATCATTTCAACGGTTACTCACACCTTACATTAGCAATCTCAAGCCAAAAAAAATTATCATTCATAATCAAATGTCAAAATCTCTGCAAAATAACTATAATTTTTAGAGAATGAGAGTAAGTTACAATCACTCAAATCAACTTCAATTGTAATGACATTTAGAACACTAATATATTTTAATATATAGTTTCTAATAATAAAACTACCGACATCAAATAAGACACATAATTTAAATTAAAAAATTATCCAAAAAAATTGGCTCACAACTCATAGGAAAAAAAGAACCATAAATATCCATTTTATTCACTCATTTTTATCCTCATAATTATTCTAAGGTTACCATAACCTCCATTGACATTCTCAAGCCAAGAACACATCATTTATTATCAATTTTGACAACTAACATTATCAAAATAAAGCAACAATGAGCATAAAGTTAAATAAATAAAATTAATCAATGAAATTTTTCAAAACAATTAATAAATCATTCCCACAACCAAAAAATCAAAGGACATTGAAAGAAAATATAGAAAACACAAAAAAAATACCTTAGATGAAAATCAAAAGAGATGCAATGAGAAACATGACAATGACAAACAGACAACATTGATGATGATGAAGGATGATTAAGGTATTGCGAAGGCCATGGTTGACAATAGGAATCAAGACACTTTATAAGTTTTTCCTGTGCTTTCATTGCAAGTGGATAAGAGAAAAGGAGAAGAGTATCAAATGCGAGACTAAAATGAAAAAGAATGATGAATATTTAAAAAAGAATATATGATAGGCATTAAAAGTGCATCATATATTCCACTACACATGACATCACATGTGTAAATGACTATATATGACAAGTGTTTTCAAACACTAGTCATATATACTATTAATTGTTTTTAATTTTTTTTAAAGCTAGAAACTAAAAAGTTATAAAGTTTTTCATATGCAAACACGTCATGTATTTTATTATTAATTTTTATTTTAAAAAATATAATAATCTAAAGCATTATATGAAGGGTCTACATATATTTGTTATATATTGTAAAATATAAAACACACATCAATTAATTGTAAATATCACCTACCTCACCATTATATGATATATTTCCTTTTGATCGTTATTTTTCTTGACATCTTATATTAATGATTTTGATAAAATATTCCTTAATACCAATAATTAATTAGCATTTCTTCACTGATTTTTGCAACTTTAGTGGTTAAGTTGGTCTGAGTTGATTTGTAAGCATCGAAAAAATAGGTAGATTTAATTTCTTAATAATAATATGATATTAGGTAATTGTTTTTTAAAATAATTCTACAATAAATTCTAAAATTTGGAAAATGCATTGTTGTCTAACTTTAGAATTTTTGTTTGTGTTTAAAACAATATTTTATTTTTATTATTAAAATTTTTTATTAATGAAATCCAACAATTAAAACTCTATTACTACTTTCTTTGGAGAAAATGACGACTTTTTTTGAGGAAATGACTATGATGCATTAGCATATTACAAGTTATTCATTGACAAAAAATTTTGCACATAGCAACTTGTAATTTGCTATTCCATTATACTCGTTTTTTATTTTCATACGAAAGTAGTTATTTATCAAACCAAAATAGTCATTAATTTACTAAGATAAAGGATCTTCTTTAAAGGGCAAAATGTCATTTCAAAAAATAAAATAAAAATGTCAGGCAAATTACTAGCCTCTAAAAAATAATTATTATATTTTGTGCTACTTAATTATCACTTGCATATTTTGAGAAATGTTTTGCCATCTATTGTTATTTTTATGATAGTAATATCTACTATAAAAATAAACAATGCAATCCCTTTTTCCCCTAAACAACTCATTGTTCAAAAACCAACTTAATTTACAATTAGTCAATATATTCATTTTTTTTTTTGGCCAAATACGAACCGTTAATTCATTAATATATTATAAGAAAATGTCAATCCTTTCATATAAAAATAATAAAATTCGATGGATCTCATACATTTATAAAAAAATTAAAAAATTATGTTATTTATCCACATATTTTATTAGAATTTAGTAACTCTTCAAAAAAAAAAAAAACCTATAATATAATCAGATGGATCACACATACTCATTTATACAAACCTGGAAATAAATTACGCTATAGAGTGCTTCTCATGTTTGAGTTTAAATTTGCTTCCTAGCCAATCATTTTCTAAGGCCAGCAAATCTCTGGCATTCTGACATGACAAGAATCAAGATTCGTGTTGAAAAAATTGTCAATTGACCCCTGTGCCCTTTTTAATTATAGTTTATGCCCACAAGCAATGCCCAGTCCACTGACCAACCGGGTTTATACACGGACCGGTTATCGGATTCGCTGGTGACCGGTCCGGTTCAAGGAACCCGGGATTTTAGCTTTTTTAATTTTCACGCGTCGTCGGCCTATCTATGCTATAAGGGCACGCCAAGCCACAGCAAATCGCTGCTTCTTCTGCTTGAGACGTTTCTGGAGAGGTGGAGGCGCCGGGTTCCCAAAGTCAAGCCCTTTCGGCCCACTCTTGGAGAAGGAGGCCCGTAATCTCTTCTCTGCTTCTTCGTTCTGGTACGCCTTTCTTCCTTGTTCAGTTTGATTTCTTTTTCGCCGATCTTAGGTCCACTTTTTATTTGACAATTAGGGTTTCCTTTGATGCGTTAGTTTTGTTTCGTATTTGATGTAAAGATCTGTTCATTTCCCATTAATTGATTAGCTGTCCTTTAATTTTTGATGGAACAGTTTTTACCCTCTCTTTTGGTCTGTTTCATTATGTCTTTTGATGTGCTTTGTTCATGTTTCGCGTGTGTGCTTTCCATATTTTGTGTGGTATGTTAGAAATTTTATTGGCAGTTTTAGTAATTTTTTTTTCCTTTTTTCTGTGTTCTCTTAAATATGTATTATAACATCATACAATATACGATTTTGATGCAGGTTTCTTCTGATACCATATCCCTTGGTTTGGGGTAGGGTGCTGCTACAGATTTATCCTCTCAGACATATAAGGTAGGAATAGAAGGTTAATTTCCTGTTGTAAGTTGACTTTAAAGGTTTTTATTTGCGTAGCTATATAAGGTTGAATTTTCAATAGAAGATTAAGAGTAAGAAATGTTATCTAGAATTAGTGACCCTGTCTTATGTTTCTCTTACTTAAATGGTGGGAACCTGATCCCAAACTGTCTCTTTATGGAGACCTGTCTCTTTCTCAGGTTTGGTATAATTTTAGGCAAAACATTAAAGTATTCATGATATGTGCGTTTGATCATTTTTTACCTGAAGATTTTGTCTAAAATTTTAAAAGTGGAATTCTTTTTCCTTTTTTCCCTTTTCTGGTGTAGTGAGCAGAATACAGAATGAGGCCATTTTTAGTTAGGCTACTGATGCTAGGTACATTTTCATCTAATATTTGTATGATGTATGTTAATCATTTAGTGGGAGAGGATTATGAATGTATAAGCAAGCAGGTATAAACTTTTGTTTGTCTGTGGGAAACTATGTTGTCAGTTGGAAGGATAGGTTACCATGTCATCTTAGTGAACCGTATATTAGCCAATTAAAGTTTAATCGTTGGTGTTGCTTGTCTTGTGGCCATCAATGTGTGATTACGTACTTTGCTTTTTTGGATTACCTAAACTTGTGTGCCCAGAATCAACACTGAATTGACAAAAGTGGAGACTGTGTTTGTGACAAAATCAATGTTTGAAAGTGTCACTTGACTGTTCAGTGTATTATTCTATGTTACTCTGCATCATATCAGTGGCAACTTAGATTTTTTAATGCGAAGCTCATTCTTTGCATATATAATGAAGAAAATAAATAATTTAATATTCTAAATTTGCTTGCCTTTCTTGGACTCATTCAATTTTATGACTTGATTGCCAAACTAACTTTGTTTTTTTCTCTTCTGTGAGATGTCCTTCTGGTCATCATTTTACCAAAATGCAGTTTTTGAGTCGGTTATTGAATACAAATGGACACCAAGAGATTCCTCCAGCTTGTGGAGGAGAAGAAGAAGAGAATTATGGATCGAAAGGAGGCTCCTTTGAAGTGGGAGCAGAAGCTGGAAGCTGCTTCTAAGGCTAAAGCTGACGCTGAAGCTAAAGAGAGGAAGTTGAAGGCTGCAAAACATAAAAAACGATCTGGCTCTGATAGTGACTCGGATTATGACAGTGACAATGAGTATAAGAAGTCCAGTAGAAGAGCTCACAGGAAGCATAGGAAGCATTCTCACTCTGACTTGGGTGACCATGATAGAAGGAAAGAGAAGAAATTTAAGAGAAAGGCAAAGAAACGGTCCTCAGAATCTAGTGATGCTAGCAGTGATGAATATGATAGTATCTCTGAGGAAGAGAGGAGAAGGAAGAAGAAGCAAAACAAGAAGCACAGGGATCAAGGTTCAAGATCAGATTCCAGTGATTCAGATACCGGTGCTGATGAGGTAAGCAAGAGGAAAAGGCATTCAAGAGAATACAAACGCCGAGCTGTCTCACATTCTAGTGGATCAGACTTCTCTAGTGATGAAGAGTCTCACGCTTCTAGAAAGAGTCATGGAAAGCATCATAAACGGCACCGAAGATCTGAATCTAGTGAATCAGACTTGTCAAATGATGAAAGTGACGGTGCTTATCACAAGAAAAGCCGCAGAAGGCGCCATAAACATCACAGACGATCTCATAGTTTGGATATGAGGTCATCAGATTCTGATGATGATGGACATGGGCAGCGAAGCCAATCTATAGGGAAGTCATCAGATGAGAACAATGAAGATAATAGGAGATCAGTCGCTAAGAGGCATGGCCACCACCACCACCACCACACAAGCATCGACGCCACTTGAATGGGGAGAAAAATCAAAATCAGTCTCCTCACCATCACTCGCCAGATATGAATGGAAAGCATGACGAATTAAGCAAATATGTGATTGTGAAATCTGATGGAGATCATGCGGATTGAGCTGTGGATGAGAACAACGAGAACAATTATCCACGTGATTTCTGAGTTCTGTTTAACGATTTGTTGCCTTCATTAACATTCCAAGTGACCGTCAATGAATCTTTGCTGAACAAGTTTAATTTTAATTATTCTTTGTTGTCATCTGCATTATTGACAATTTGAATCTAGATTTTCTGGCTTCTAATTGGATTGTTCTGTTGACTGTGTTTGCTGTTGCAATTACAATAGATTATTGTGGTCGAAACTCATTTCTTGGAAACTCAAGTTGATTTTGCTTGGTTTTGCTGTTTCGTTTTGGAGCCTGAATAACTTTTAGGTATTCTTATCTCAGGTTTTTGTTCGTACTTTAATAAACAACGGAGCAGTGGGGGAAAATTGATGATGCAAACTTGCAAAGAAAAGCAAACATATCTTTCGCTACATATATATGTATATAAACACACACATATATAAAGAATAATCAAAAAGTGACAAATCAAACAGAATCATTATTGCCAAATATCAGTTATACATATGCATTATACACGATGAAATTGTTCAAGAGTACACTATTAACATTCTAAAATTAATTCAGATTCTCTGTTTGAACATCATGTTCATTATTTAGTCCATAAAAATCTAAAAAATATTAGGTTATGTATATTAGTGTTTACTAGGACGCTCCAAATCCATCCTGAGTAAACAGTTACTTTAGTGACACATTGTTTCATTGGGGAAAACAAAACTAGGTTGCACACACTAATTCTTTTGCTGTCTCAACCATATGAAAAAATCCTATCCCTAATGAGCAATTAGTTTCTTTCAGAAACAAATTCGACATTCAAAACCATATGTGCTTGAACGACCAAATGTATGCGCCAAGCCACAATGCACATCAAAGGCGGGTTCTTTTTATTTTCTAGGCCAGGAGATCTCGTAGCCGTTTAAGGTCCGTACAGATCTAAGGGCATTTGTTTGTCCATAAACGGGCAGTGAACATGTGTTTCGATTCTATCATGAGAGCATTCTAACGTCCTAACCAGTCATAAATGCATTTCTTGAATAAAGAAATGACTGTCTTTGGATGATAGAAGCAAGATCGATATTTCCACGTGAAACCAAGAAAATTTGTATCCCCTATTTGGTTGCTGAAACCTGAAAGCCGTCAAATTCTAATAATGGGAACTTTGTTTCCCAAAATTAATTTTATTGTACATTCCATGCCAACGATCCTCAGCAGTGGCAATGGACAAATAATTATCGACTATAACACGACAATGATACAACAAAAGCAAAAACTTCAACCGAGTTGTCAGAAGTTCTTCAATATCTTCTCACTTGAGACTCCATCAGCAACAAGAATCGATGTAACTTCCTGCAACAACAAAGTGATTATGAGAGGTCATGTATGTAAGCGAAGGCATTGCGCATACAACATGCACTAGCCGTTAATTTTTTTGCAAACGATAGCAAAGCCTGACTAGGCAAGAACTTGGGAATTTTTTGGGATTATGAAAGTTACATGATAATATTTTGATACTCCAAGATAAAGAAGGTAATTTAAAACAGGGATGACTAAAGTTAAAATCTCTAAATTGCTGAGCCATTGTCCCAAAAAAAAAAAATTACTGAACTGAACTTCAAGAGATCTCAATATCCAGAAAGATACAACGTGAGATAACTTTTGCAGCAGATTTTAAACCGGGGCAGCATAAGTAAGATTATCATGTAACTTTCGCCAAAACTTGGATACACTACGGAATTCAAGGCTAGCAAGACCACGCCAGGAGGAGATTCTCTCCCAAAAGATTACCTCATTTGAGACTCAATGGGATCCTATTCCTGACAGCATCAACATACAGAGCTTGTGAAAGGTGACATAGGCAGATTTTTTTTGGGCAACAGATTCCGCAATGCAGAGACATAACATATATAACAGTCTTGGTATCAGAACGAGTATATATCTAAAAACTGTTCAAAAGCCTTCGACTAGTTTACCCTGTACCCTATCAAAATTGCATACCTTTCTTCAATACCAGATGGTAGGGTTCATCTGGATTAGATTATATGAAAAGGTTATATGTTCAACACGTTAAGATAAATGACAAAACTATGGGCATCATAACCAACTTGGTTAACAGTGAATACAGTGCACAAGAAAGTCACATACGCAGCAGTCACATTAAAACCAAAAATTCTAGCAAATAAGATGATGATGCCTAGGGGAAGATGTGAAGCAGTATGTGATGGAATCACTGAGAAGCCTTTTGGTTGGAAGCAACAGCTAGGTTTTTCAAGGACAAGCTTACACCCATGACACTTACTGCATGGGAACATGTACTTCTCTTTATGACCTCGAACTAGTGATTGTTTTCACGGGGTCTCCTCATATGGATATTCAAAGATGTTGGGTAAATTCGATAAGATAGTCCTATTGGCTTTATGACCTCAAGGTTATGCTCATGACAGTAGTAAAATGTTGTGTGCAAGGTAATTTAAAAAAAAAAAAACGTGGCATCCTTTTCACACTCCATATTGGGAGAGAGAGTTAAAAAAGAGGAAGCTTAAAGCAATAGCAGCAAACCTCAGTCATCTGTTTCTGCCCACAAAGTACAGCACCAATTGACGAAGGATCAGTAATTTCCTTGGTTCTTGCAAAAGCAGCCTGTAAAGGCAATTATGGGAGAAATATAAACTAATTCTTGAGAGTTACAGCTTTAACTAGACTGCTAAGCTTACAAGCAAGACCACAACATTACCTGCACATAGCCACTTTCCCCAGTCCAAGTACTATCTGGCTGTGACAAGACAGGCACAATCTTAACACCAGAAGATTCCCACTCTTTGAATCTATCCTATAAAGATAAAATATATATTTATTAGTATAACCTCACATTGAAAAAAGAAAAGTTTTATTTTTTTCCCTTCAAACCCAATGCCCAAGAATCAATGGAACAAACCTGATAAGCCATTCTTTGAAGGTTTCTAGCTCCATAAAAGAGCCTCACATCGGATCTCTTAGCAACGCTAAATCCAGACTCAATAAGTGATCGAATTGGACTGTACATAAAGAGAAGCCACATGAGCCAAGTTGAATGACTACTAAAGAAAGTTTAAAAAAAAAAAAAAAGGCTCAGGATTGATGGTAATATATAGCTAATAGATGAACAAATGCCATGCATTCCATGTGCAATAGATTTATAGGCAGAATAAAGTTTCAAAACAACAGAAATACTACGTCATCTGAGATATAGAAGAAATTTCATTAAAAGGAAAAAAAAAATAATATAGTGAAATGAAGAAAAGTTTTCCAAAGACCAAAGCAACAGAGAAACTAGGGAAGGGCATAAAAACATGAAAGCTGTCAAAATCCCTTGAAAGTAAGAAAGAAAGAAGAGGGGGAACATGCACTGAACACCAAAGTCAGGACTGAAAAAAGATCTATGACAAAGTACGGCTAGGATCAAATATTTCCCCTCAAAAATGCATGCATCCATACCATCAAAGGCACCAAGGGGTAGCAAGCATAGCACACCGCAGAAACACTTTCCTCCTTTCATTCACCATAACATCAGAACTTAATCTATATAAGAATCATTTCCAGGGTTAGACCAAAGAGCCTACTATAACACAACTAACTGCCACTCAATGCAGAAATAATAGTGCAGTAGTTTCGATATTATAGCAATACATTCCATATATAACATAAGACAATGCATTGTCAAGCCTACAAATTACTAACACATCTTTAGTCTTGTTTTACTGACCACCGTCAACCACAGATGAATAATCCATCCTAACTTTGGATAAAGGATCTTTTCCAAGGGTGAAATGGGTAAGTGAAAGAAGGAATTATGATGGACACTTGGTAGTATGAGGTACCAAGTCCCACATTGAGTAATATAGGATGCTGAATGGGGTATATAAGTTGGGATGGAAAACCCTACCCTAAAAGCTAGCTGTTGAAGTGAGAGAATCAATCCACTTATATACCTCATTGAGCATCCCATACTACTTAATATGAGACTTGGCATCTGATGGAAACTTAGCAGTATGGGATATCAAGTCCCAAACTGAGTAGTATGGGATGCTCAATGAGGTATATAAGTGGGTTGGTTCTCCCACTTCAACAGCTAGCTTTTGGGTAAGGTTCCCCATCTCACTTAGGTACCCATCAATTGGTATCAGAGCCTTGTTGTCAGCAGTTCCGGAAAGAGCTACCCGCAAAGGGTTCTGACAGGAAGGAAACCAAGTTAAGTGCTATGGAGTGCAGCCATCGAGACGTCGGCTTTCCGCAAGGGGCCAATTAATGGAGACTTAGTAGTATGGGATACTGATGGAGACTTGTTAATATGGGATACCAAGTCCCACGTTGAGTAGTATGGGATGCTCAATGGAGTATATAAATGGGTTGGTTCTTCCACCTCAATAGCTAGCTTTTGGAATAAGGTTCTCCATCCCACTTACCTTTTGGGGTATACTACTTAATGTGAGACTTGGTATCCCATACTATCAAGTCTCCATCAAATTACAAGAATGAAAATCAGAAGAATCAAAAGTCACAATCCTCTAGTACAAATAAAAAGACTCAGGTAATAACAAAAAAATTATTTCAGACATTTCTCAGTTGTTCAGGTTCCTGAATTACTGGAAGTTCCCAGGAGTGACTGAACCTTGAATATTCTACAAATAAGGAATGAGGTTATTGATACACGGAGAAAGAAAGAACAGGAGAAAGCCTCAAGAAAAGGAACATCCCATACCCAAATATAATACAAGCATCTAGCCTGATGGCCATTGCCAACCATAAAATTTAAGAGAAATATGACCAAGACTCCAAGAGATGGCATTGAATGCTTTAATGTAAGTAGCAGTTTAAGATATCCCTCTATTTGAGAGTAAACAAACATCGCACACCATAACCTGGTGCCACAAGATAGATGTCTCAAGAGGGAAACAACATTGCCAGCAAGAAAAACTTTAGCATGATGAACTTTTTAAGGATGTGGAAGGAAAAGTAGATGGTTTGATGCCAGGATGAGCCTTGGATTAGATGTTAGTTAGTCAAACAGATGCACAGTACCATCAAAGTATAGAGTGCATTGACGATCACGGGAGCATATAAAGCCACCAGTAAAATCTATAGCAACACATTCAATAGTGTACATGGAACATCATATTACCCTTCCAACCCCACATCACATTCTCAGCAAAACGGCAAGGATTCTTTAGTGAAAATTAGAAGCTCCCATATTGAAGTAATATAAGT